CTGTTGATGCCGGATCCCTCTACCGTAGGATTGGAGGCTGGAGTAACAGGGACTCCAGTGGTAGAGGAAACCATCGGGTCTATGGAGGGGCGGGCACCAGGGTTGACAGAGGTCGAAGAAGAAGCCTGAACGATCGGATGGTTGTCTAGAAAGCGTCTGCCAGATTGGGGTGCCTTTCCCTTGCGATCAGGGCCTTTGGTCTGGCTAATGGTTGCAGTCGTGGCCGGCGTAGTCGTAGTTCCAGAATCTCTGGTGGGGGCAGTCGGCTCAGTCTGCATGCTAGAGTCGACGAAAGTAACTCTAGGTGATGCCTTAGGAGAGGAAGACGAGCTATCCAGACTCGTCTGGGTGCCGGAATCGGCGAAAGTAACCCCAGCGGACGCCTCAGGAGGGGGAGGTGAGCTTGGCCGACTGGTTTGGGTGGATACCTCACTTGTTGATGATGCCGACCCTGTTTGAGTGCTTGAAGTGGCATAGGTAATGCCAGAGGGAGGCTCGGAGAGTGTACGAGAGCCAGAGGCCCTATGCATAGCTGACAGCTGCGACATGGATCGTGGCCGAGACGTAAGACCAACGCCAGACCGCGAGACAGGGATACGACGCTGGCCTGGAGGAGGGATTGCCACGCTTCCCGTAGACGATGAAAGCGATGATGAAGAGCGGGGCGGAAGTACCTTACGGCTACTGGAATCGGTCGGGCTTCTGAAGTTCTTTGGGGGCTTTGGCTGCGTCTGGACAGTGTCCGAGGCGATCTCAGGCGAAATGGTGGTGTCGTCAGCCATGATAGCGAAGTTCAGGAACCGAGAAGGCCTTGAGAGTGAAAACAAAGCAGCGAAGGGCGTAGACTGGGAGGTGATGAAAAGAGATCGGATGGGATGGGATGGGATGAGGTGGGATGATGTTCGGGCAAGGTTGGTTCACAGTCACGTCAAGAGGGGGATTATATAGACAATGGCTAGTAAGGGCATCCAGACTCCTTCCTGCGTTAAACGACATGCAGTGGTTGCTTCTTTCTGGGTAATTAGACTGCGGTAGAAGGTCCCCGTCATGTGAAGTCGTTGCTGGGCATCTTAACATGAAGGAGCTACAAACAAGTTCCTGTCGAGAGCTCATGATGGGAGCTTGTAGATTTTGCAGGAACCACTAGCTTGCTGGACTCAGCATGCAAGAAGCGCCGGAGATCTGCTTGGTCCCGAGATCTGCTTCCTGCATTGTGATCATTCCCACGCAGGTTCCGGTCACCCAGTGCTTGCAAAGGTAGGAAGCGGGCTGAACCTTGCCCAATTTGTTTCGCCGATGGACTTCCATGCTTGTCACGCGGTCATGGATATTCGGCAGGCAGAAATATACAGGCCAGCAAGTGAGCGATGGTTATGGGATTGCAGTTGCTACGGTTGTGTCCTGCGTATGAATGCAGTAGCTGCAGTAGAGAACACTCTGTGCAGCTCATTCCGTCGTTGAACTCCCAACAGATGGGAAGCTGCCTGGATCTGTAATTGCGATATTTTTCAATGTAAGGTCCAGGAAGTTCCGTACTTTCTTTCTATATGACGAGCTTGTGGACGCGGCAGAGGTGCACCGGATGATGGGATGTGACTTCCATTGCAATCTGCACGGGCGTTGTGCATGGTAGGTGTTGGGTGGTCGTTGCCATCGAAAACCGCAAAGGCAGCGTCATCCCCACTTGCTTCATATTGAAAATGAAGTAATCAACCGGGGAAGCATGCAGGAACAGCGGGCAGCATGCCATGCGATGGAAAGAGCTCCTGCACCTGCATACTTAGTCAGTCAATGATCTGATGCACTGAGGCATGACAGCATTGGCATCAACCCCCAGCGGAAAACCATATCAACCCATCAAAATGTGCCCAAATCGCGCGCTGAAATTGAATCTTGGGAGTGGAGGTGGGCATTATCCATGAATCGTATCCCGCATTCACGAGAAGAGAAGATGTTCCGGATATTATTCGAAACTGAAACTCTTTGGCTTCTGACCAAGAGCCTGGAAAGCAGTCCAGAATGGTTGTAGTCGGTATCTCAGGTATCGGTAAAAAACAAATTGCATTGCGCTACACCTTGGAATCGATGAAAGCAAGTATTTTGGAAATCATTCTCTCAGGACAGGCGGAAACTAAAACAAAGCTGGCTTACAAATTCTTCCATTTGATCACGAGGTTAGCCTCCTCAAAATCATTCCAAGCGCGCACAATCGCAGAGTTAACAGGAGACAGGAGAGAAAAAGAGATTCAAGAGGTTTCTGGAATTAAAAAGTCAGTCGGAGGAAACATTGAAAGCTTTTCCCGACGAAATCAGGCCCAAGGAACGGATGAGCTCGCAACATGACAGAAAACTATGGCTTCATATCCTCGATTATGTTCAAAGATCCAACCCCGATCTCGGTGAAACACTGGCGGACCCTTTACCAATGAGTAACAAGGGATCTATCTCGATTACCGCGAGAAACTATGGCGTTCTGCCAGCAATTGTGCACCTTGATGGATATTCAGGGCCTTCCTGAGCAAAACTCGGTCAATCTACTATTCGAGCTTACAGACCCCAAGCCGTTGAAGAAGAGCAGAGAAGTACGCAAAAAGAATTTGCGGGCGTATGAGAGGCCACCTTTTGTCTTTGATCAGCATGGCGTTAGGTATACCGTTGAAGAAGATTGAATTACAAGAGTACATTGACGTTTTCCCAAGTGTCGCGTATAATCTGTATATGCTACTAAGACCTCCTGTTTTTCCCGTACTACCGTAAAATAAGTGACTGTCATCCTCATTTTTCTTTTCGTCCTTTTTTTCTTTTCACGGCTGTGACCTTTTTCTACTGTGCGTGATCTTAATTACGTATTAAAGTTATAGAGGAGACTACCTGGATAGGTGACTGACACTACCCGGGTAGTCAAATTCTCCTCGACCCTTGCTATGATGGGTTGTCTCTAACCTTTGTGTCCTTTGCTCGCTAATCTTATATAGCTTGCCCCCCTTTTTCTCCTTCGTTCTCATAACTCTTTTCCGTACTTTTGCATCCACGAGCCACTTCGCAGAGCAGGAAAATTTCCATCCATTGCCTTATGGTCGTTCATTCGACCAGCCCGTTCATTCGACCAGCCTTCAAGACAAATCTTCAAAGATATAGTTCGCTCGCGGGATGGACTCGCTCGTCTCTAGTGGCTTTTGGATATAGTCGCGTCTTTCAGCTCAATAACATTCGCAGACTCTCACAGCCAGGGTTTCTCTCCTTCTAAAGAACACAAAAACAACAGTTTCCAGTTCAGTTCAGAAACCCAAATAGCCATATCCAACGAAGCGACGTCGACAGTACCCAGCGATTGGCAACATGATCATCGAAATATCCTTATTTACTGCTGTCGGAGCGTCAGTGCTATGGATATTGCACCGCACCTTCTTCCGACATCTCACGGCCCCAGACACTATCAATCCATTAATCATTATTTCACGCATCGCCTTCCGACACAAGTCGTCCGTCATAGAACACCTGCGACGCTTCGAGACTAAATTCTCCATACCTGATCATATGCGCGTCATCGCCAACTCCCCGGAAGGCATGACGGATAGCTTCTACCAGCTCACGATTCTTTTCGCCCTCGGCACGGTCGTTGTTTTCCTGATTGTGATAGGTGGTGCCACCGCAGAGTACCTCTCGGCGAGGCCTTCGCAGAAGGCCTCCATTGCATGTTTCTACCCCTTCTTCCTTGCATTTATGCTTTGCCTATACCTAGCGTTTTGGTGTTGGGCCGGTGCTCGCCACCGAGAGGGATTGGAAAGAGCATACGCTGAGACATCAGGTCTACCAGGTGTGGCAGACCGGCCACCTATCGAGTAAGAAGCTTGACCTTGTGGTTCTCCCACTGTTATCTGCTGTACTAATACGGACTCCCAGACTACGACACGGGGTTGCAGATACACCAGGATCACATGTACAGTAGCTTGGAGGGTTGTCAATTTCGATTTCTCGAATATGAAGTGTCATCGGGAACGTAGAAGCATGTTGACTATCATACCTTTTGGCAAATCATCGGAGTTAGGGATGAAAGCCAAACACCCTATCACAACATCAACAGGTAAAAGGTACCGCGGTGAATCTAGCGAATAGCAGACCCATACTAGCTACAAATAAGACCGCATAGATTTACCTTGTCTCAGCGGCTACATTTCCCAAATTGTTCTCCTTGGAGTTTTGTCCCGGTTGGGAATAGCAGTCGGCTCTATCAGTGAAGAAAAAAAAAAGGTTTCCCGCAACTCCATAAAGTATCGATGCAGTGCCTCGGAAAAATTGCCATCTTGTGTGAGTATGCTTGGGCAGTGCAGATCTCCCGAAGGCATCTCCACTTTCTCAAAAAGACAGCTCCAAAGGACTCAGCCGCTGTTAGCAACTTGCCTCCGGTGTTCCTAACTCCCCGGGACAAGGTCTTCGACGAAAATTAGTTGAGTACGCGTTTTGATGAACATGACAACGCATGCAGTCCAGTCGCAGCCACTAAGCCTCCGCAGATCAGGGCATTTTGATCTCCTTTGAACAAGGCTTTAAATAAGGTGAGTGGGTTGTTTGCGTTCATGTCAGGGGAACAAGTTGGCGTCTTCGCCTCATCGTTCCCCTCATTGAATGAATGTCGTTCTGCTCCCGTGGCTCACATCTCGAACCGCGCGTTCATTTTGCGTGGGTAGACGGCCAAGCCTCAAATGGTCCAGTGCAACCGAGGCAGAACCACCAGAAGAGCCCTGTCTAGGTGCTAATGATTGTTCATGGGCCATGGCCAGAGAGACAACATAGTCCGGAGCGCCTGCAGCTAGTCAGTGGCGTCGTCATCTGTCAATATCTTTTAGGTAACCTTGCCTGGAGTGATGATCAAGCGGGCAGGGGATCAACTCCGGTAACCTACATATATACGTGGTCGGCGTGCTCATGACTTCTTGGAACTGGCTTCTAGATTACTTTGCGCATAGGGACCGCTGACCGACTCAAGTGAAACCTCCATTATGCGCTCTTTCCTCACTTTTGGTATAGGCGTTTTCGCCATCACGGTCTCTGCTCAGTTCCAGAACAGCACCAACACCACCGTGCCTACGGCTACGACGTTGAACGGGACATACTACGGAGGTAAGTAATTGTTTCTCTTAAAAACCTCACTCAAAATTTATTACACTGTGGATGAGGCTTGGTCGTGATGAGACGCAACTGACAGACGCGAATAGTTCACCATTCGAACTGGCATCAGGACTTCTTCGAGGGTATCCCCTACGCGCAGCCACCCACCGAAAGCCTGCGTTTCCGCGAGGCTCAGTCACTGAACACGTCTTGGACTGGACAGAGAAATGCGACCGTTCTTGGATCCATGTGCTACGGCTACGGGGCCACCCAGATGGTCCTGGGCCAGTTCATCTCCGAAGACTGCCTGACTCTCAACGTCTATCGCCCCTCCAACGTCTCCTCATCCAAGGGCCTGCTGCCGGTCGCAGTCTATATCCACGGCGGTCTATTCGAGCATGGAACCGGGAGAGATCCACGGTACAACATGACCTCTCTCCTCCAGGTCGGTGTGCAGAACGGGAAGGAGTTCATCGGGGTCACGCTCAACTACCGTCTTAGCTACTGGGGCTTCCTGTATGGAAACGAAGTTGCTAACGAGGGCGTTGCGAATCTGGGTTTGAAGGATCAGCGCCTTGCTCTCCGGTTCCTGAAGGAGAACATTGAAGCCTTTGGCGGCGATTCCGAGAGGATCACCATTTGGGGTCAGGAGGCCGGTGCTTTCAGCGCTGGGCTTCAGCTCCTCGCGTACGGTGGCCGGGATGACGGCCTCTTCCAGGGTGCTATCCTGCAGAGTGGCAGTCCGACTCTGATGTGGCCGTCCGTTACCGCCGATGAATGGCAGCCTCTTTATTACCAATTCGTCAACGCGACCAACTGCTCCGCCTCGATGAATACCCTCGACTGCCTGCGCAATGTTGATTCCGACGTTCTGTCGAGCGTTTTCGACAGCGACATAACTACGGACGACCACCCTAACCCCGTTGTCGATGGCGACTTCATTCAAGACCTCGGGTCCAAGGAGATGCAGGCTGGACACTTTGTGCGAGTGCAGTTGATACTCGGAACGACTCGCGATGAAGGCACTTGGCAGCACTTCGTTGTGAAGAACATCAACACGACGGATGAGTTTCAGAACATGGTCAGGGATGACGGGTCGAGTGATGACGCTGCCAGCGAGATTGCCCGGCTGTATCCTGATGAACCGGATCAAGGTATCTCGGCAACGCTGGAAGGAAGGCCGGGGAACGAGACTGGACTTGGGTACCAGTGGAAGCGTACGAGTGCTTAAACTGGAGATATGATTATGCAGGCTGGACGACGGCTGGCAAGTCAAGTGGTATGTGCTGAACATTCCTGTGTCCTGAGCCCTTGGGTTTCTTGTTACTGACGATGTCACTTGTAGTGGGCCGGGAATGATGTCGACGTCTACTCATACGTCTACGACGTCTTGTTCCATGCACACTGGTGGCAGACCGGTTCTCAGGAACAAGACGACATCGCCTTCCTTTTCCACAACGTGACGCTATCCGAAGCTCTCAGCCCCAGCGATCAAGCCGATCAGAAGGACACTTTTGAGCCGTTGAGTTACCTGATGTGCAGCATGTGGATAAGCTTTTTCCACACTTTGGACCCGAATAACCATCCGGGTGAGTGAAATCTCCTCCGACAAGCCACGAAGGGTTCAAAGTTCGAATACTGACTTATTCTTCTTGCAGTGAACGGCACCAATGTTTGGCCCAAGTATAATGCCAACAGCCCCGAAAACTTTGTCTTCGACGTCAACGCTACCGAGTTGAGTCCCTCTGAGACGGACGATTTCCGCAGTGAAGCTATCTCATACTGGATTGATTTGTTCAGCACAAACGAGTATCCGAAGTAAATTGTCTACCAACTCAAGTGCATGGAAACAGAAGATTTCATCGTCTCTTCAATTCAAGCTGTTGTGGAGGTCCAGATCCTGGTCCTAGTCACCTTAGTGTCTTTCTATTAACCTCCTGTGATTCACATCTGTACAACTTCAAATTGAAAAAAAGACATTATGATCAATTGGCGACGATGTCGAAATGCCGCGAGTATTGTGGCGACATTTCATGACTTAAATCGAATCACAAAAAGAAAGCGATTGACCTATCACAGACGTGCCCACTGTTGAGTCGTATTGCCAAGATCGCCAAGTCTTGGCACATCAAAACGTTCCTGGATCAGGCAGGTCGCGATACGACGCTGATGAAGCCAGCCTCTCTGATCTTTTTAAGCTTCCTTATTGAGCCTCTCGTCCCGGGATGGCGGCGCTGCCCAGAGGCTCGTGGCAATGAATTGAGTCAATCGATCCTGTCAACCTTGAACCTGGGACTCCAGACTCCCGCCGGGTTTAATTTTGACTTCCCGCGTCATTGGTTCGTGGATCCAGTTTACCGTTGAAAGCCGCACCACCGCAAAAGTGCCAGCATCATCAGCTTCCTTATCTATTGCCTTGGCGCGATCACGCGAGATGGTGCTGCGTGCATGTGCGACCCAGTTGAGGGGCAACGCTCCTGCCTCGCACAGTCGCATTTGCTTTGCGCCACGCAGAAGGAAAGCGCCCAGGAGGCAGGACCTGCGCAAGTTGACGACAAATACAAAACCAGAGCCCCGCCGCTCCTCTCAAACTTCGCCAGGTTTTCCTCACCGACCATTCACCAACCGCCCAACATGAGAACGGCCGCCCTCACTCTCGCACTGCCGGCCCTGGCCAGCGCCGCCAAGTGCAAGCCCTACGTCGACTCCGAATCCCTCCAGGAGCTGATCACCATCGAGGATCTCCTCGCCGGCTCCCAGAAGCTCCAGGACATTGCCGATGCCCACGAGGGCAACCGCGCCTTTGGCGGTGGTGGCCACAATGCCACCGTCGACTGGCTCGTCGAGGAGCTCGAGAAGCTTGACTACTTTGACGTCTACAAGCAGCCCTTCACTGAGGCTTTCGCAGGCTCCAAGGCAACTCTGACCGTGGCAGGCGCCGCCGTCGATGCGCGACCTATGACCTTCACGCCTGCTGGAGACGTCACCGGCGCCGCTCTGGTCAACGTCCCGAACCTTGGCTGCGAGGAGGCCGACTACCCCGCCGAGGTCTCTGGTGCCGTCGCCCTCATCTCGAGAGGAACCTGCAACTTTGCCGTCAAGGCCACCTTGGCCAAGACCGCTGGTGCTGTTGCTGCCATCGTCTACAACAACGCCGAGGGCGCTCTGTCGGGAACTTTGGGCGAGCAGTCGGATGCTTACGCGCCGGCCGTTGGCATCACCCAAGCCGAGGGCCTCGCTTTCGTTGAGAAGCTCGCGGCTGGCGAAGAGATCACTCTTGACCTCAACGTCATTTCCATTATTGAGGACCGTGTCAACTACAACGTCATTGCTGAGACGCGTGGCGGAGATCACGACAACGTCCTCATGATCGGCGGCCACTCTGACTCCGTCTTCGCTGGACCCGGTATCAAGTGAGTTATCCCATGCTCCCTATATTTTCTCTATCATCCTTGATTTTTCATGTTCGTCCTCGCCGTCCGTCGTCCTCCTCGTCGTTCTTCGTCCTCCTCGTCGTTCTTCGTCGTCCTCGTCGTTCTTCGTCGTCCTCGTCGTTCGTCGTCGTCGTCGTCGTTCGTCGTCGTCCTCGTCGTTCGTCGTCGTCCTCCTCGTCCGTGGTCGTCCTCCTCGTTCGTCGTCGTCGTCCTCGTCCGTGGTCGTCGACGTCGTTCGTCGTCGTCCTCGTCATTCGTCGTCGTCCTCGTCATTCGTCGTCGTCCTCGTCATTCGTCGTCGTCCTCGTCGTTCGTGGTCATCCTCCTCGTTCGTGGTCGTCCTCCTCGCTCGCGGTCGTCCTCCTCGTTCGCGGTCGTATCATTTATCAGCAACCAACATTGTCAGCAAATGCTAACCTTTCTTTCTCCAGTGACGACGGCTCCGGTACCGTTGGTGTCCTTACCGTTGCCAAGGCCCTGACCAACTTCGAAGTCAAGAACGCTGTCCGCCTCGGCTTCTGGGGCGCCGAGGAGTACGGCAAGCTCGGTTCCTACTTCTACGTCAAGCAGCTCAACGGCTCTGAGGAGGAGGTTTCCAAGATCCGCGCCTACCTCAACTTCGACATGATTGCCTCCCCGAACCCCAAGCTCGCCATCTACGATGGAGACGGAAGCGCCTTCAACTTCTCCGGCCCCGCTGGTTCTGATGTCATTGAGAAGGACTACGAGGAGTTCTTTGAGAGCAAGGGCCTGGGACACGTGCCCACTGAATTCAACGGTCGCTCGGATTATGCCGCGTTCATCGAGAATGGTATCCCCAGTGGTGAGTTTACCCAAACTGAAAATCCGAGGTTGGCGAATTAATAATAATGATGCATCGTAGGTGGTCTGTTCACTGGCGCTGAGGGACTTAAGACTGAGGAGGAGGCCAAGCTCTTCGGTGGAGAAGTTGGTGTCGCCTACGATGTCAACTACCACCTGATTGGCGATGACATTACGAACCTGGACAACGATGCCTACCTTGTCAACACTCAGGCCATTGCACACAGCGTTGCCAAGTACGCGATGAGCTGGGAGACCATTCCCCCCGTCAGCCAAAAGAAGCGCAGATACGCCGCCGACGTTGCTCGCCACCTCAAGCGCGCTGCGGAGCTGACCGGCCACTCTCATGACGGGCCTTGCGGTGGTGGCTCACACTTCTAAGCAAGTGGAAGGATAACTAATATGAGTAGCTGAGGATCATGACTAGGGCAGCATAATTCAATAAGAATACATAATGAGTTCATGAGACACTTTGCACCTTCGAGACTTCGTGCCATCGACTCGATATTGCTTGCAGTAAGGATTTGCAATTGTTTGTTCTTGGTGGCTACTCTGACCTTCCAATGATCCCAAGCCGAAAGACAAATAGTTAGATTGATAGTAAACCTGCCGCCCCCCGCATGAGATGATAAGTTGTGCTCTCCCATCTTTGGTCTTGGAGAATGCATGCTACTCAAGAGATACCGACCAAAATGGACTTCACCGCCATATACTCGTTGATCCCTACCTCACCACCTTCTCGCCTGTACCCGCTTTCGCAGGCACTCAGACTACCAACGTTGATGCCGACCATGTAACTACGAATGATGCTCTCAGTTATAACAAAGCTTCCGAGGCCGACATTTGAGCTGTTCGCCAGTGTAATCGCCTCGGTTTCGTCCCCGAACTGATATGGTCCTAGGACGGGAGCGAACACTTCCTCACGGGTGGTGATCATTTCCTGCTTCATGTTGGTCATCAACGTAGGTTGTATGAAATTGCCGCCCAGCTCAGGTAGCAAAGAACCTCCTAAAATGACTTCGCCGCTCTCGACGTTTTGCATCTGTTGAATGATTGGTATTTGGCAATACGTTCAGAAGTAAAATGGTATAAACCCTTTATGTGCGACAAGGCCTTCTGAAGCTCGCCCTCATTCGTCAATGGCTCAACGTTGACGCCCGCTTGAATCCCGAGGCCAACCTTGAGTTGTTGCATTCTTTCTTTCACCTTCAGAGAGAACTTATCATAGATCCCCTTCTGAAAAATACCCGGTTGGGCGTCACACAGGTCCGCCCGGAATTGCGAAGTTTCGCGAGCATCAGAATCTCCACCGCGCGATCAAGGTCTGCGTCTTCGAATACGATTAACGGGCTAGTGCTTCCAAGTTCGAGAGAGAGCTTATTAAGAGTTTGACCGCACTGCTCGGCAAGTCGCTTCCCAACGCGGGTGCTCCCGGTGAAGCTGATCTTCTGGACCTGCAGACTTTTGCAGAATGCCTCCCCGACCTCGGCAACCCTGTCCAATGTCAAGACGATATTGATGGAACCCTGGGGAAATCCAGCCTCCTTGGTCAACACCGCCTGGGCAATGCAGCTCAGCGGTGTCTCGCCTGCAGGTTCCCAGACAGTCGTACATCCGGCAGCTACAGCCGCCCAAGCCTTTCGGGTAATCATGGCTATGGGAAGGTTTTCACGCTGCAAGCAAGGTGGCCACGCCTGGGAGCTGCTGGATGGCCAGGATGCATTGTCCGGTTTCGGCTGCGGGCGCGACTTGGCCGTATGCCCGCTTGCCTCGCCGGCAAAACACTCGGGGAATGAGGCTCTGTGGGAAGTCTCCGCTCTAGCCTCAGCGAGACTCTTGCCGTGTTACAGCGTCGAGATCAAGGCTAATCAATGTGGTCGAGGCATAGCTTGTTTCACCGTCACAGCCACCCTGCTCTCTCTCTCTCGCCAAATGTTGTTTTGAAGATCTGAAATATTCGTGTGCTGCCTAGATAGCATTCTGGGTATCTTCGGCGCCCATCTCGGGCAGTGTTGCTGAGGTCTTCAACGTTGCTGGGTTGACAACATCGAATGTCTTCCCATCGATTCCTGAGGCCTATTGGCCATTCACGAAGCCGTTGTTCTGCAGAAGGTCCCTGCGAGACACGTCAGATAGGCTTTTGAACTCTATCTTGGCGTGTCTTCTTGTGTTTATACTGTCAAACCGCAAGTGTTCTCGCGGAAGCAACGGCCAAGCTAACAAGCGAATCGAGCGCGAAAGCTGGGAGCTGTAGATCATAGGATTACTCTAGACGTTCAAGAATGTGAAGAAATCATCGTGAGATAAGGTACTGCCTCGAGCGATGATGGGTTATTCCAAAGCTCGTATGATATCTCAAGGAAGTCTTGAAAGATATGGACCGTTGGAATTCATTGCTAATATGTTTTCTGCTCCGCATCATGTTGTTTTTCCCCATTGTCCGAGGGGTAAAAAAGGGTCAACAGGCGACGGGGGGCCGGCTCGTCGGAGAACGTCATCGTAAGAGAAGGAGAGCGCAGATGTCCACGGAATGCTGAGCAGACCGCATCAAGAGGTACGTTCTAATTATTTGACAGACATATGTCACATAAATATGAAATACTGGCCAGGAAGCTAAATAGATGAGATGGCCATTGAAGGACTAGGCGCAGTGTGATGCTACCCACCGAGCGCTGATAGCATCTAATACCAACGCCTCAGCAGTACAGAGCGAAATAGCAGACGCAGGTCATATCAACTTGATCTCGCATGGTGGGTCGGTATCGCTCAACGTAAAGAGACTGTGCTTTATCATCACCCATGGTGACCGAGGGTTCGAGACGAATTCAAGGATAAAGCTTAAATAAACCCTACCTATCTTATCAACGTTACCACAATGTTCCATGCCTTTCTTAAGAAAGGTCAGGTTTGGTCATCTCCGACCCAGTGAGAGCATGCCGTTTTTTTTGTTTTTGTTTTTCTAATGCGGCGGCTAATGACTTGCTGTAAAATAGCCTTTGAACATAGGGCTCTACATTAGGATATCGGGTTTTCAACTACAGATCTGCAGTGTCATTGACACCTGGGAGCTTGCTTGGATGACCGCCATAGAATTAGTTGACGATTTGGTGGACGGGCAATAAAAATTGAGCACCTGCGCCACTAAATCGTTCCGGTGCGACCGGATCACCCGCCGCCCGAAGATCCCGCGATCCGGGAGACCGGGGTGAGCCAGGTCTAGAACAAACACGTCACGATTCAGACCCCTGGTGCGCGTACGAAGTACGACTTACCAGTAAGGGCGTCCTTTGCTACGGATACTTGGCACGACCTCAGTAGCGAGACTTGGCAACATGAGCACCTAATGAAGGATCAGCGCCCTGTGAAACAGCTGGCTAACCTGATGTCCAATGATGCCCTGGCCCCTGTCGACGGGTAATGAGCTGTCATTAGAGCCGGTGGGCCCGGGACCAGCCGCCCCTGCAGACTGCCAACTGATAGGAATCAGAGGACTCCAAACGGACACGCATTGGTGCACCCTCCAGCCCTGCAGTCGATCAGGGGGAGCGTCACGCTTCCTTATCAGTTGCCCACTTCACAACAAGCTTTCCTCTTCCTGCATGGCTAATCCTTTCTTTCTACCATCCGAAGTGCCGGCGCATTACGGCAGGCAGTCAGACTGACCTCTAACGACCGAATTATTCGAGAAGCTGTCCGCGCGTTTGTTTGCTCGCGTGACTTGCGCACAACATCACTACCGCTGTGGTGAGCATCGGCAGCGATGGCATGGCAATCATGGGAGAAGTTCAAGGCCGACCATCCCGCCATGGCGGACCGCATGATTGAATCATGGGCCGCCGTCCGGCCGTATCTACCACCGGTCAACTTCATCACAGTTCACTACGCCTACTTTATATTGGTCGGGCTCATCTTTGCCGGCATCTTTCACGGAATCTCGAACCCGGCCAACAGCGTCAGCTTCATCGACAGCCTTTTCCTCGTCATGTCCGCCTTTACGACATCCGGACTCAACACGGTCGACATCAGCAAACTCAGTACCGCCCAGCAGGCTATCATCGCCTTGATGATGATTCTTGGCAGTCCCGTCTTTGTCTCCATCTTCACCATATGGCTCCGCGCCCGCGTCTTTGAGAAGCGTTTCGAGGACATCGTCGAGGCCGAACGGAATAGGAGGATCAAGAAGACTGGCACCATAGTTGGTATGGCTGGAGCCATGATTGGTCTCCCTGTCATGTCATCTTTTAAGGGAACCAAGCGGAAGCAAAAGAAGGGAAGACATGAGCGGCAGGCCGAGGCAGACGCCTTCCAGCTCACGGGGTATAAATCCCGCGAAAAGGGCCACGATCGAAGCCAAAGCCAGCCTACCAATCATGAATCTGCGCCACACGGCATGCTGGAGCCCATCGAGGAGGGCCAGAGGCTGAACCTTTCCACCAGCTCCACCGAGCCCCTCTCGCCCAAGTCGAATGCGACCCCCAGGCGGAGGCCTTTCAGTCGCGACTCAGGCCGGGTGTCAATTTCAGAAGGCTTCGATTTCAAGACATTCATCCACGAGAACAAGACGTCAATCGGCAGGAACGGCCAGTTCTTCGACCTCACGGAGGAACAGCGCGAGTACCTGGGTGGTGTCGAATACCGAGCCCTTAAGATTCTCTTTACCATTGTCTGCGTCTACTTCGTCCTCTGGCAGCTGCTTGGGGCCATCACGCTAGGCGCCTGGTCATACACGCATAGCCAGAGTATCACAGCCGTCAACTCTCAAAACTCCTGGTGGGCTGGCATCTTTCTCGCCATCTCTTCGTTCAACAACGCTGGAATGACGCTCCTTGACGCAGGCATCGCAGCCTTTGACAACGATGCCTTCGTCTTGACCATTGTTACCATCCTGTCCCTGGCTGGAAATGCGGCGTTCCCTGCGTTCCTCAGAGCAACCGTCTACTTCTGCAGGTTTGTTTTGAAAATGTGCGTTGATGAAGACGAGCACATTGTCTGGAAGGAAGCTTTTGATTTCATCCTGAAGTACCCTCGTCGTCTGTACATGATGATGTTCCCTGCCAAGGCCAATTTTGTTTTTGTCACGATGTTCTCCACCATCGCGGTCATGGACTGGGTCTTATTGTTGGTTCTCAGCATTGGCAACTCTGCTATCGAGGCATACCCAGTTGGAAAGCGAGTTGGACTGGCCCTCTTTCAGGCACTGGGTAAGTCGCCAAGGATTCTGTTTTGGCCTAGACACTAACCCTGTATTAGCTATTCCATCCTCGGGTTTCGGGGTTGTTGGTGTGTCAAGCCTCTATTTCGACGTTCTAGTCCTATGGGTCATCGTAATGTACATTTCCGCATATCCGGAGATCATCGTCATGCGAAACTCAAATGTAAGTGTGATCTCGAGTCAAGCTGAGGCATGTCCATCTCACTAACATGACTCAAGGTGTATGAAGAACGGTCACTAGGAATCTACACCACGGAACCTGAAAAGACTGAGGACCCAGACGCAACCGCCGGCGAGTCGATAGATGAGCTCCTGCCAACTTTTGCTGAACCGGCATTTGGCCATGCTCTTGGCCCAGAGCAAACAGCAGTTTCCGCATCAGGCGTGTCATTGTCACAAGCAAAGTCCCACTTTTCCACCAAGCCTGTCAAGAGGATGGCCGCCATTGGCCGCCGTGGCACATCATTCGTGGGCAAGCAGATCCAGAGCAGGATGAACAACTTCCAGGGCGTGGGCGTGACGGCGAAGCCACGGCTGAAGCGGTCCGCTGCCATCAACTTCGACAACCCGAACGCGGGCTCCGCTTCTACACCCGAGGGTCACGTGAGCCTCGTATCGCAACACCTGCGAGGACAACTGTCGCACGACATTTGGGCCATTGCTTTCTCACTGTTCCTAGTCACGCTGATCGAGACGTCCCATTCGATCGAGGACCCACGCTCTTACAGCGTCTTCAACTTCTTGTTCGAGATCGTGTCTGGATACACCAACATCGGACTGTCCATCGGCCTGCCGGGTCACTCGTTCAGCTTCGCAGGCGGCTGGTACACGGGTTCAAAGCTGGTCATGATCTTGATGATGATCCGTGGCAGACACAGAGGCCTTCCGGTCGCGCTGGACCATTCCGTCAAGCTGCCTGGGTGGGATAATGTCAAGAAGCAGAATGAGGACGCTGAGATCAGACGGAGTATGAGTAGAAGTCGAACTGGCTTAACGATATAGACTTTTTAGATGGATTTTGCCCGCAGACGGGCGGTAGACAAAATAGAACTCATTTCACGCTTAAGGCTGCTAGGGTCGTGCTGCCCAGTGCTCGTTGGTTTATGTCTGTCGTGATAGATGGCTCTGATGGTCGTAGAAGCTGTTTTCTTGGCTGGAAAGGCTTTTGGCAAGTCGAGTTTGATGATGAGATGAGATACAAACCAAAAAATGCTTTCTGATGAAAACTGTGTTCGGCCTTGACGGTCGTGAGGACCAGCCGGAAGAAAAGTCTTCACAGATATTGACTTCTCTTGTGCTATTTTCCACGAATGAGCACGATCTATGCAATTTCTTGTGTGTGAGCAGCTGGCCGCAGCATGCATGCGGTTTTACCCAGAGGCCTAGGCATCTATTTGTGTTCTTGGGCTCGTTTGAAACGCCGCTTATAGCTTGTTCAGA